GTGTGTGCGTGAGTGCCCAAGATCCCGAGAGGAGAATGGAGGAGAAGGGATTGCGGCGCGGCCATCCCCCCTGGGGGCTGATTTCTCGCTTTCTGTCTGTCTCTCTCTGTCTGGTGAGCGCACGCATCCTATAGCAAAAACCTCTCCAAAAAAAAGAGAAAGAAACAGGAGACAGGATACAAACTCTATAATGGCCCAGCTGTCCCCTCTTCCTCTGTCCCTGCCTCACCTGTCCTTTTGTCAAGCTAGCAGCAGCCACAGGACTTGCGGCTTCACCCAGGCTGCTGTCTTCCAACCCCAGAGGATACATCAGGCGCTGCTCATCACGGTGCAGGAAAGCAGGCCCTTGCCTCTTGCTTGTCTCCTTTTCTTGCTCTGCCCCTCCCACTAGCCTGTGCTTTGTTCTCCGCTGTGCCACTCTTCCAGGTTTCTGGCTTGCCTCACAGCAGGTTGGGGGCATAACATTGGGAAGTTGCTTTCAAGACTGAACAAGGCAGGGTGGTGTAGAGAAGGGCAAGTAAGAAGGCTTCAGGGAGAAAGACTCACTAGGGCCTAAGCAGGCAAGGACTCAGGGCTGACTGTGTGTCCCCTCCACCTCCCAGGTGTTCCTGCATGAGGCCACTGTGCGTCTGATGGCAGGAGCAAGCCCCACACGCACCCACCAGCTGCTAGAACACAGCCTACGGCGGCGCACCACACAGAGCACCAAGCCCGGTAAGACCCCAGCTCCCCACCTGGCCCTTACGTGCATTCAAGTATGCCACTCACCTCTCTGCAGCCACGGCCAGGTCCTCGCCTGCAGTGTTCTCCAAGGTGGTGCGACAGGGAAGGCTGAAGGCCCAGGCTTGATTGGGTCCAGCCTTGAGTGGGAGATGGCTGGAAATGGATGGATGGAGCCCCTGGGTAGGAGCAAAGGAGACACGGTGGTTCTTTTTGGCCCCACCACGAGCCAGCCCAGAGCCACTGGCCAGGGGAAGACTCCTCTTATCTGACCTGGGAGTGCGACTGCTCTTACCTGACCTGGGAAGGCAAGAGAACCTCCCCACACCCTGGTGTGAGGCCTGGGAATGGCGCCTCCTCCCTAGCTGGCTCAACTGTCTACATGTCTCTTATCATTCCCACAGGAGAGGTGGACTCCTGGCCTGGCCAGCGAGAGAGGGCCACCGCCATCCTGCTGGCATGCCGCCACCTGCCCCTCTCTTTCCTCTCCTCCCCGGGCCAGCGGGCCGTGCTGCTGGCCGAGGCTGCACGCACTCTGGAGAAGGTGGGCGACCGGCGCTCCTGCAACGACTGCCAGCAGATGATTGTCAAGCTGGGTGGTGGCACTGCCATCGCTGCCTCCTGACCTCCGAGCGTGGCCTGCTGCCTCCTTCCACCTTTCTGTCAGTCTCTCCCAGGAACCTCCCTGTCTCTCAGTTTTTCCCTTTCTTCCCTCTGAGAGTGTAGGGCTGAGCCTGGTCTTTGAGCTGTCACCTGCCAAGGCTTTGGGCCACCTCAGGCGTTGGATCACCTCTGGGCAAAGCCCCTTAAAGCTGATGTCAACAGAGGCCCATAATCCAGGGCCCAGCGTGCCTGAGGGGAAGGGTAGCTGGGCAGGACCTGAGGGTACCCCTGATTTGCCAGCAGCAGGGGGCTCCCTAGCTGCCAAGCCCCTGTCAGCCTCTTGAGCGTCTCTGTCCTCTGGATATCTCTGCCCTTTGTGCTTCCTCCTTTTTTACTGGCTTTCTCTTCTGGGGGACATAGGTCTCTGGGCCTCCAGACCTGCCCAGCGTGCCCCTGCAGCCTTTTTATACGAATGTTTTTATATGAGCGCGGGGTCCGCCGGCTGCGGCCTCCTTCCTCCCTCCCTGGGTCCATGCCCCTACCCCTGAGCCTAAGCCAGTTCCTTGTTTCTCATCACACAGGACAACCAGGGAGTGGGGAGCCCAGCCCTGGGGAGGTGGGTGGGAGGTAGGGGGCAGGCTGGGAATGGATGAAATAATGTTGGCATTATTTTTTAATTTTTTAAAAAAATAAATGGTATCTTATTTAATTGTCCTGTTCCTTCCCACTCCCCTGCCTCCTGGGGTGTCAGCCCAAGTTTAGGGTAGGCCCAGGGGGCTGGGAGGGATGGAGCCCCCATTGGGACTGGGGGCCAGAGGCCTTCGGTATGGTTTCTAAGTTCCTTGCCACTCTGCCCCAATTCCTACCTCCATAGTATATTTTTATCCCTAATTCTTGACCTGAGAATAAGCCAGGGTAGTAGGGACCAGCCCTCAACCCTCAACAAGCCCCTCTTCTCGGAGTGGGCATGGGCACAAGGAATGAGGTCTCCTGCCTTGTTGGGGCCTAGGAGGAAAAGTATCTCACTTTTCTGGTTCCCCTGGCTTGGTGCCTTCCCAAAGGCTATGTCCCCAAGGGGCTCCTTAGAGACGGGAAGGAACCCTCCCAGTGCTTCTCACCCTCTGAAGCTAGTTGAGGCAGAGGGTGACCAGGCGCCCCACAGGTCGGTGCACACAGCAAGGGTGCACACAGCAGGGGTCCCCTGGATGTGAATGCAGAAGGCCAGCTTTGAGTTGTCTGCCCATGGGGTATGCTTGGGCCCCACCGCTTTATCTCTTCCCCTCCCTCCACTTTCACTGTAATTTATGGTCCCTTCTCCCCAGGTCAGCCAGCCTGTGTCATGTGTACATACTGTGCCTTTTCTCGTTGATGTTTGGGGGTGGGAGGGGATGGTTTTTCACTGAAAAGGGGGATACACCTATGGCTTCCTTGATGTTGAATCATTCACCATGTCCGGACGTAGGTTCTTAAATAAATACGGTTTGGTACCACCCAGCACAAGGTGTGTGAGGGTCTGTAGTATGCCCACTCTGGTGCCTAGTCGGGTAGCTGTACAACTTGGCCTGCTCGAGGTATATGCTTCAGGACTGCTGCTGGGGTCAGAGGTCATCGTGTCTCAGTCCCAACTTGTTCCCTGGCCAGTTGGCTTGTTCTTTGGAATTTGGAGTATGAGGAGAGCCTTGTTGGATGGGCTGCTTTGTGTCCCCTTCTCTGATGACAGTGACCCTCTGAGAAAGCTCTCTGGCCTCCAAGTCAGTCCCAAGTCTCACTCTACTTGCTGGATCATCTTGGGTGGGACCTGGCCTCTCAGGTCCCAGTCCCAGCCTTTGACTAGAATCCCACAGACTTGTCCAGGATTTGATGACATGCCCATGTCAGGGCCTGTTGATGGAATTGCCTTGCCGGCTGGAGGGAAACCAAGCTTGATTTAAGACGCCTGAGGGGCAAGACCCCTGGGCTGGTTGAGTGGAGTGTGGGGCTTTGTCAGGGAGCCAAGTGTGCCACATGGAAATAAGCCCAGGGGCCAAGTGACAGCTCGTGGTCTGGCTGAGATAGGCCGAGTCCTGCAGAGGAGCCTATCCACATTTGAATCACCATTTCCAGAAGTGGCCATTGCTCTGGCCTCGGTAGGATGGAGATCCAGGGCTCTTGGGTCAGAGTGAGCAGAGGGTCCTGCCTTCCTCCCAGCACAGCCCAGCCAGGGCCTGCGTCACCAGGGTGGGTGGCTGTGGGTGGCCGATGCACCCAGGAGCCTGATCCTTTTGTGAGTCTCGGCAGGCTACGTGACTCAGTGCCCACCCCCCTCCCCCGGCTCCACACAGCTGTGGGATAGGCCGAGGCACCCCACCCCCACCGGAGCCACCTCACCCCAGCTAACAGTGTGACAACTCTCTTCTGCAAGCCATGGGGCCCCTCAAACAGGCTGGACCATATCTGTCGCAGAACTTGTTTTTTCTTTCTCTTTTTATTTTTAGTCTGAGAGGGAAGGTGAGAAAGCATCCTCTGAGGGATAGCCTCACCACAATCCCTTCATTCTCCTCTCAGGATTTTGGGCACACATGCACAGGTACCAGATGTATTTTTCCAGCTGCGGGGTCCAGGACTCGAACCACGCAATTGGCCATGTGGGACCCAACCACCTTAACCACCATGCCAACTGACTGGTCCAAGGGTTTTGTTTTCATCAATAGCCTTAAAGGACAAAGAGGTGGGCCTTCTACAGGCAAGGAGCTAAGCCCAGGCTTGGTGGGTTTGGGAGCCTCAGGGCAGCCCAAGCAGCAGGAGGAAGGTCTGAGACAGCCTATACCCTGGGAGCAGGGACCCTTCCTTGCCAGCACCCATTTCATCACCTCCCTTCCTCCCCCAGCTGCCTGCTGCCCACCATTCCATGTCACAGAGGCAGACGACAGGAGGGCCCTGAGCTGGGAGTCAGCTAGGTGACCTTGGACAAGACACTTAGGTCTGTAAACCTCAGTTCTCCCATCTGTAAGGATCCCCCTATGGGGCTTTTGGAGAAACAGCAACAAATGGCCATTGTTAAAGTGGCACACAGCACCTAAGGGACACAGGAGGGCGACAAGCCAGCTTGGCAGTTTGTGGAGGCCACAAAGTGCTGGTGGTGGCCAAGCGCCTGACCTCCCCAGCGGTACCTGGCACGGAGGTGCACACAGGCTGCTGGCAAGTGCCCTGAGCCACAGCAGGTACTGGAAGCTCTCCTGGGAGGAAGGGGGCCCAGTCAGGACCCCTGCTCCATCATACCCACGCCTCTCCCCGTCAGAGCAGCTCCTAGGAAGAGGCTCCCTCATCCTGGGCACCAGCTGTCCGCAAGGCCCACACCCATTAGGGGGGTGGCTCTGGGCCAACCGGGCCAAGCAGCCTGCAGGGCAGGGGCCGGCCTACAGCCAGACTCAGTGAGGATCAGCCAGGGTTAGCCACCTGAACTACAGGGTGGGTGGCCTGCTGGTGGGGCTCGCCCCACTGCCCTCTCCTGTGCCCAGGCCTCCTGATGGCTGGCGCCGTCAGCCCTTTCTCCCCTGGCGCACTGGTGTGAGCCTGACTCCTGGCATCCGGCCATGGCCACCCTCTGCAGCCCCTTCATCCTGTTCCCGGCACACTCGCGGCCAGGTCGGGAACAGTGGCTCCCGCACACGGCTCCCGCACACGCTGTGCCCTCTGCCTGCACTGCCGTCTGCGGCCAATGACCAAAGCCATCCGTCTTCTCCCAGCCAACTGGGCTCCTTTATTCTCAGGCGGAACCACAGAAACAGGTCTATTTACAGGGTCCAAGGGCAGGACCACCGGCCCTACCCAGCGGGCACCTTCTTAAGCCCTGCAGGCTCCAAGGACCCCAGTCCATCTGGGCAGACGGATGGGCTGGCTCTCCAGGCCGGCGTTCCTCTTTCTCTGGCCTGGAGCGGGGCGGACGAGGGCGCCCAGCGATGCCTCCGGAGGACCGCGGCCTCCTTCACACGGTCACCTCGGCTTTGCTGTTGGTGCTCAAATGCCGGGGCCCGCGGCCGGCGCCGGCATAAAGACCAGGGGCCTGCGGGTTGAAGGCCTCGGGCAGTTTTTCTACGCTGAACTGGCGGCGGGGCGCGTGGCCGG